CAGCGGCTACTCGCTGCTGTTCATCAACGGAAACAACCGAGCGCACGGACAAGACCTGGGTACTTCGAATATTTACCGCAGTGCTGCACTCTGCACCTTTTCATATGTTTTAGTTAACATGCAGCTGTCTTTGGCTGTAATAATGTACATGTCCGCTCCGTGGGACTAATAAAGGGATTCTGATTCTGATGCACTCATGTTGAGGTTTGAGAGATTGTAAGTGCTTTGTGTTGGTCGCCTTACCAGTCAGTGCTTAGTAACAGACTCTTCGCAGAGTTTTGATTCTTTCTTAAGAACGGTTTAGGGTCATGTACGGATTGGGACCCTTACGTTGTGTTATTGTTGTATTGTTTTAAGTGTCGGACCCCAGGAAGAGTAGCTTTTGTCAAGAGCAAAAGCTAATGGGGATCCTTAATATACATACGCTTTTAGTCGTTTCATAACTTTCAAAAATGTATTTTACAAAAGAAAAGCATATTGCTACCGATGGAAATGACCGTGTTAGCTACCGTAGGATCCAGATCAGTGTTGAATCAAATTCCTTATCGACCGAGGAGTGGCGGTACGAAACAGAAAGACGTCGTTGACTAATCACACCTCTCTCTCTGCAGGTACATTAGGTAGTTGTTTACCTCGCTTCACCACCATGCCCTTCCTGTTCTGCAACACCGACAACACCTGCCGCTACGCCTCCCGCAACGACTACTCCTATTGGCTGTCCACCGACAAACCACTGCCGGGTAGCATGCCGCTGATCTCCGGGGACTCTCTGAAGGACTACATCAGCCGGTAACACACACACACACACACACACACACACACACACACACACACACACACACACACACACACACACACACACACACACACACACACACACACACACACACTAAAGGAAGTATTCTAGATGTAATTGGACCTCATAAAGGTCTCCTATCATGCAAAATGCACCACATGATGTCTTCTCTACATCACCATGTGTCCCCGGTGTGTCCCCAGTGTGTCCCCCGTGTGTCCCCGGTGTGTCCCCCATGTGTCCCCGGTGTGTCCCCCGTGTGTCCCCCATGTGTCCCTGGTGTGTCCCCCGTGTGTCCCCGGTGTGTGTCCCATGTGTCCCCGGTGTGTCCCCAGTGTGTCCCCCATGTGTCCCCGGTGTGTCCCCCGTGTGTCCCTGGTGTGTCCCCCGTGTGTCCCCGGTGTGTGTCCCATGTGTCCCCGGTGTGTCCCCAGTGTGTCCCCGGTGTGTCCCCCGTGTGTCCCCCATGTGTCCCTGGTGTGTCCCCCCGTGTGTCCCCGTGTGTCCCGGTGTGTGTCCCCATGTGTCCCCGGTGTGTCCCTGGTGTGTCCCCGGTGTGTCCCCGTGTGTCCCCATGTGTTCCCTGTGTGTCCCCGTGTGTCCCCGGTGTGTGTCCCCATGTGTCCCCGGTGTGTCCCCGTGTGTCCCCCGTGTGTCCCCATGTGTCCCTGGTGTGTCCCCCGTGTGTCCCCGGTGTGTGTCCCCATGTGTCCCCCGTGTGTCCCCAGTGTGTGTCCCCCATGTGTCCCCAGTGTGTCCCCCGTGTGTCCCCGGTGTGTCCCCGGTGTCCCCGTGGTGTCCCCGGTGTGTCCCCGTGTGTCCCCGGTGTGTCCCCCGTGTGTCCCCGGTGTGTCCCCGTGTGTCCCCGGTGTGTCCCCATGTGTCCCCGGTGTGTCCCCGTGTGTCCCCATGTGTCCCGGTGTGTCCCCAGTGTGTCCCCGTGTGTCCCCCGTGTGTCCCCGGTGTGTCCCCGTGTGTCCCCGTGTGTCCCCGGTGTGTCCCCAGTGTGTCCCCCGTGTGTCCCCCGTGTGTCCCCCGTGTCCCCCCGTGTGTCCCCGGTGTGTCCCCGGTGTGTCCCCCGTGTGTCCCCGGTGTGTCCCCTGTGTGTCCCCTGTGTGTCCCCGGTGTGTCCCCCGTGTGTCCCCGGTGTGTCCCCGGTGTGTCCCCTGTGTGTCCCCGGTGTGTCCCCATGTGTCCCCGGTGTGTCCCCTGTGTGTCCCCGGTGTGTCCCCGGTGTGTCCCCAGTGTGTCTCCGGTGTGTGTCCGGTGTGTGTCCGGTGTGTCAGGAGGCTCTCAAAGTGTCAGAAATAAACCCCTGTCTCTTTTCCTCCGTACCCACGTCTCTAAAAACGGGGAACAACGGAGCTGATCCAGATTTGCTGCGTCATGACCACATTACTAAAATGTGGGCGGGCTTTACCCCCACGGGCCAATCAGAAGCGTTGCTGTCAGAAACAATGAGACGTGTTCTGGAAGTAATCTGGTCTGTGTTTACATTAGCATGCTAACACTCGGAGCTAACCTGTACTGGAGAGAGTCTGTGAAGAAGCAGGAAATCAAAAGGAAGTCACCTTGTGGTAAACCTGAGAGAGAGCAAGAGTTTGAGCTCCATCCTGTTTCAGAGAGAATCCTTGATGTGGTTTGGAACATGATGTGGAGTTTCATCACGCAGCATTTAGCTGAGTTTCTGCTGGGGGAATTATTTATTTTGTTTTTTATAAAGCTTTAGACCCAGAATCATCTCTTTACTAACAGCTGGAAGAGAGGGGGATGAGGCTAGAATGATCTGTTTGGTATTTTGAGCAAAACACTTCATAGACATGTTTTTATATTTCTGAGACCTATAATATATGCCTACAAATATCTATAATAGGAGACCTTTAAATGAAAAACCGGTCCTGTGTTGAAGGTGTTCGGTGTGCGAGGCCCGGGCCAACGTGATCTCCGTCCACAGTCAGACCAGCGAGATCCCCGAGTGTCCGTCGGGATGGGACCCCCTGTGGTTCGGATACTCCTTCGTCATGGTGAGATCACATTTACGAAACCCTAACCCTGAGAGATGTCCCAGTGCTAAATATGGTGGCAATTCTTGTTAAGTTATTGTTCAAATGTGACAGATGTAAAAGCAGATTTTCCGTTTAACATGCTGAGTTGTCATCTTGCAATATACTAATTTATATAAATAGTTATCACCGCAATTTGTCTTAATTTACATTATTTAATTTCATATTCTGTTCTTGTACATATCCCATATTCTATTGACATGTGTATAGTCTTTTTGCACTACTTTTTATTTTGTATTTTATTATGTTGCGTTGTTGGAGGAGCTCAGGTCAGAAGAATGTCATCTACTCTGAAGCTGCTGAGCATCTGATGAGAAACCTTTGACTGTTTGAAACCTTTGAATTGAAGTGGGGAAGTGAATACACTGGGGGCTTGATTTAGGCCTTGTAACTGATTCACCAGCTCTTACGATGGTAGGATCTCGCTTGAAGTGAAAATATCTGCACTTTCCTTGTCGTTCGGAATTTTAATCTTTGTGGGTTTTCAAGTCAAAGTTAACTTTATTGTCAATCTTTCAGTTTGTGTGTACAGACAGAGAGATACGAAGTACAAATATATATAAAATATATGTATACAAATATTTCTATCCTATATACACACAATCAACAGACACTTGTTGTAAGTCGCTTTGGATAAAAGCATCAGCTAAATGATATGTAAAGACGTTTTGGGGTCTCTACATAAGACCTTTCTTAAACATGCTGAGTGGGAAAGTGAATAAACTGGGCTGCTTGGACTGAACTCGTAGTTTTTAGTAAGATTAACCCATGTGGTCTATGTTGGGACAATGTATGTACTCCTCCAACATGAGAGTAGCATGCTAACAGAGGTATGAACTGTAGCTGTGAACAGGATGTGTGATTAGCTAGAAGAGCATCAGGACTGTTTGAGGCAGATGATAGCTATGTGATTAACATGATGATTCAGCCTCTATGGAGAGAGACATCAAGCATGCTCATTTCTGACGTGGAGCTAATCTGAAGTAAACATTGAATACTGCTTTCTATTCCTCCATCTTGTGACTGTGTAACTCCCTCTCTTGATATCAGCATGTGAAGGACACTGTTCAGGAACTAGTTGATGCTCTGTATGTGATGACTCCTTCCAGTCTGGAGAGGATCACAGATACATGGATCCTGAGGCTGAAGCTCAAGCTGGTGACCAGGGAGATTTTCCTAACTGTCTACAATGGGTTGACCTTTGACCTTTGCCCCTTGCTGTTATTGGTCTGCAGGAGACGGGGGTGGGGGCTGAGGGTTCAGGTCAGCCTCTGGCCTCTCCAGGATCCTGCTTGCAAAACTTCCGGAAGATTCCCTTCATCGAGTGTCACGGCAGAGGAACCTGCAACTACTACACCGACTCCTACAGCTACTGGCTGGCCGCCCTCAACCCCAACGACATGTTCAGGTACCTCTAATGCAGGGGTGGGGAACCTTTTTCCTCTTAAGGGCCATTTCAATGTTTTCAACATCCTCCGAGGGCCTTTCTTTCATGCTGTGCAAAGAAAAAGCAACCTCTGAATCCAGATATCTCACCATGACTCGCGCATGCATGCACGTGCACGGTGTGGCATGACCACCAAAACAGAAAGATATGGACACTAGATGTGTGCAAATGTATTTAGTTTCCTATCCATGTGGACATGATTTAAGTGATAAAAGCATCAATCTGGTGCACTTTGAGAGCAACATGAGGAGATCTATGGATACCTCTCTCTCAACACCCAGATGAAACAGAACTGTAAGCAGATTTATTTTTCTTTATGGATATTTTAAATCACTTCCCTTTCAAACTGTATTCTTGTTTATTAATATAGTATAGTCATATAGTATTTTATACCTGTTTACTTTATTCTCTTATTGTTTTATAACTCTAATGATCATATAAAGATGTGCCTTTACCTCACTGGTTGGAGAAAAAGCTTCTTATATTCGTTAGCATAGCTAGCTAACCAGATGCTAATAGCAACAAAGCTATTGACTGTATGATCAGTGTGACAGATGAACAGATCGCCACTGGGCTTTCAACTAAAGACACAGACACGCAGGAACTGCAGCATGTGTACGACTCCTTATGGGTACTGCAATTTGTGGAAGTGGCGGAGCGGCGTTCTGGTGCTCTCCGGCATAACTGCATCCCTATCAGACGAGACATATACCACGTGATGACACTTAGGCTCGTGTTGTGTTCAAGGACCCTGACCTTGGCCAGGAAAAACAGGTACTCGCTTGTTTAATTTTTTTGCGGTCTAGATTTCTTTAATTTTTTGCCTGTGTTTATAAATTACCTCGAGGGCCGTACCAAATTATCTCGCGGACCGTGTACGGCCCGGGGGCCGCAGGTTCCCCACCCCTGCTCTAATGAGACGTTCAGGTGCCTTTAACCAGGCGTTCAGGTGCCTTGAATGAGACGTTCAGGTACCTCTAATGAGACGTTCAGGTGCCTTGAATGAGACGTTCAGGTACCTCTAATGAGACGTTCAGGTGCCTTTAACCAGGTGTTCAGGTGCCTTGAATGAGACGTTCAGGTACCTCTAATGAGACGTTCAGGTGCCTTTAACCAGGCGTTCAGGTGCCTTGAATGAGACGTTCAGGTACCTCTAATGAGACGTTCAGGTGCCTTTAATGAGACGTTCAGGTGCCTTGAATGAGACGTTCAGGTACCTCTAATGAGACGTTCAGGTGCCTTTAACCAGGCATTCAGGTGCCTTGAATGAGACGTTCAGGTACCTCTAATGAGACGTTCAGGTGCCTTTAACCAGGCATTCAGGTGCCTTGAATGAGACGTTCAGGTACCTCTAATGAGACGTTCAGGTGCCTTTAACCAGGCATTCAGGTGCCTTTAATGAGACGTTCAGGTGCCTTTAATGAGACGTTCAGGTGCCTTGAATGAGATGTTCAGGTGCCTTTGATTAGGCGTTCAGGTGTCTATAACCAGACGTTCAGGTTCCTTTAACCAGCTGTTCAGGTACCTTTAATGAGACGTTCAGGCACCACACCTTTACCGACATGTTCAGGTGCCTTTAACCAGACCTTCAGGTTCCTTTAACCAGACGTTCAGGTGCCTTGAATGAGACGTTCAGGTACCTCTAATGAGACGTTCAGGTGCCTTTAACCAGGTGTTCAGGTGCCTTGAATGAGACGTTCAGGTACCTCTAATGAGACGTTCAGGTGCCTTTAACCAGGCGTTCAGGTGCCTTGAATGAGACGTTCAGGTACCTCTAATGAGACGTTCAGGTGCCTTTAATGAGACGTTCAGGTGCCTTGAATGAGACGTTCAGGTACCTCTAATGAGACGTTCAGGTGCCTTTAACCAGGCATTCAGGTGCCTTGAATGAGACGTTCAGATACCTCTAATGAGACGTTCAGGTGCCTTTAACCAGGCGTTCAGGTGCCTTGAATGAGACGTTCAGGTACCTCTAATGAGATGTTCAGGTGCCTTTAATGAGACGTTCAGGTGCCTTGAATGAGACGTTCAGGTACCTCTAATGAAACGTTCAGGTGCCTTTAATGAGACGTTCAGGTGCCTTGAATGAGACGTTCAGGTACCTTTAATGAGACGTTCAGGTACCTCTAATGAGACGTTCAGGTGCCTTGAATGAGACGTTCAGGTACCTCTAATGAGACGTTCAGGTTCCTTTAACCAGACGTTCAGGTGCCTTGAATGAGACGTTCAGGTACCTCTAATGAGACGTTCAGGTGCCTTTAACCAGGTGTTCAGGTGCCTTGAATGAGACGTTCAGGTACCTCTAATGAGATGTTCAGGTGCCTTTAATGAGACGTTCAGGTGCCTTGAATGAGACGTTCAGGTACCTTTAATGAGACGTTCAGGTGCCTTTGATTAGGCGTTCAGGTGTCTATAACCAGACCTTCAGTTTCCTTTAACCAGACGTTCAGGTACCTTTAATGAGACGTTCAGGTGCCTTGAATGAGACGTTCAGGTGCCTTTGATTAGGCGTTCAGGTGTCTATAACCAGACCTTCAGTTTCCTTTAACCAGACGTTCAGGTACCTTTAATGAGACGTTCAGGTGCCTTGAATGAGACGTTCAGGTGCCTTTGATTAGGCGTTCAGGTGTCTATAACCAGACGTTCAAGTACCTTTAACCAGACGTTCAGGTACCTTTAACCATTACAGACACATTCAGTTACACAACACATTTAATAAAAACTTATGTATGACACGAGACATTTTCAGGTACCTTTAACGAGACGTTGAGGAACCATAGTTTTAACGAGTCGTTCAGTTACACACACCTTCAACGAGACATTCAAGTACAAAACATATCAAAGTAACAACGTCACCTTAACGTGTGTTTACCATAGTCGGATACACAACAGTGTCGTCAACATATTGAGATAAGAAGCCTGTATTATTGGTATGGTAACAAACATATGATGGTGTCCAGACACCAGAGGCACCATCACAATACCTCTGATTGTGTGATTGTGTGATTGATTGATTGATTGTGTGATTGATTGTGTGATTGTGTGATTGATTGTGTGATTGTGTGATTGATTGATTGATTGTGTGATTGATTGTGTGATTGTGTGATTGATTGATTGATTGTGTGATTGATTGTGTGATTGTGTGATTGATTGTGTGATTGTGTGTTTCTGCCCGCAGTAAACCGAAGCCTCAGACCGACACCGGAGAGTTTCCAGGAAATCTGATCAGCCGCTGCCGAGTCTGCATGAAGCAACTGTAACTAACTACTGATACTGCAGATACTGCAGATACTGCAGATACTGCAGTATCTGCAGATACTACTGATACTGCAGATACTGCAGATACTGCAGATACTGCAGATACTGCAGATACTACTGATACTGCAGATACTGCAGATACTGCAGATACTGCAGTATCTGCAGATTCTACAGATACTACAGATACTACAGATACTACAGATACTATAGATTCTACAGATACTACAGATACTACAGATACTACAGATACTACAGATACTACAGATACTACAGATACTACAGATACTATAGATACTACAGATACTACAGATACTACAGATACTACAGATACTACAGATACTACAGATACTATAGATACTACAGATACTACAGATACTACAGATACTATAGATACTACAGATACTGCAGATACTACAGATACTATAGATTCTACAGATACTACAGATACTACAGATACTACAGATACTACAGATACTACAGATACTACAGATACTACAGATACTATAGATTCTACAGATACTACAGATACTACAGATACTACAGATACTGCAGATACTACAGATACTACAGATACTACAGATACTACAGATACTATAGATACTACAGATACTGCAGATACTACAGATACTACAGATACTACAGATTCTACAGATACTACAGATACTACAGATACTACATATACTACAGATACTGCAGATACTACAGATACTACAGATACTACAGATACTATAGATACTACAGATACTGCAGATACTACAGATACTACAGATACTACAGATACTACAGATACTATAGATACTACAGATATTACAGATACTATAGATACTACAGATACTACAGATACTACAGATACTACAGATACTATAGATACTACAGATATTACAGATACTATAGATACTACAGATACTGCAGATTCTACAGATACTGCAGATACTATAGATACTACAGATACTACAGATACTACAGATACTATAGATACTGCAGATACTACAGATACTATAGATACTACAGATATTACAGATACTACAGATACTATAGATACTGCAGATACTACAGATACTATAGATACTACAGATATTACAGATACTATAGATACTACAGATACTACAGATACTACAGATACTACAGATACTACAGATACTATAGATACTACAGATATTACAGATACTACAGATACTATAGATACTACAGATATTACAGATACTACAGATACTACAGATACTACAGATACTACAGATACTACAGATACTATAGATACTACAGATATTACAGATACTACAGATATTACAGATACTACAGATACTACAGATACTGCAGATTATACAGATACTACAGATACTACAGATTCTACAGATACTACAGATACTACAGATACTATAGATACTGCAGATACTACAGATACTATAGATACTACAGATATTACAGATACTACAGATTCTACAGATACTGCAGATACTGCAGATACTGCAGATACTACAGATACTACAGATACTACAGATACTGCAGATACTACTGCTGTAAATACTACTGACTCTGTACTCCTGATAAATACTCATGAGTATTCACACAACAGAGAAACAGGGGTGGGACCTAAGTACGTTTATTAAATAAAATGTTGAGGTATTTCCACATTGCTAATTTCTACTTTGACTGCATTACATGTTGTAATCCACCGCTTCAGTTACCAGCTGCTTTGCAGATTTAGATATTAATACACAATTATGTAAATACAAAAAATACGTTCTTAAACATGAATAAGGACTGTGTTTGTCTACATCAGTAAAATCCTACTTAATACAACATCGATGTTAATAACATTTCAGGATGAATACTTTAATTTTGAGACTTAAGTCCAATTTGCTGATGAAACGACGTTTTCCATGCAACTTCTACTTGGAGTATGTTAACTGTAATCTTTTGGTACGTTTACTACAGTACAGTATCTGAATACGTCTTCCAGTGGTACTAATATGACCAATAATACTGCTGCAGTACCTCCTGCAGCCAGCAGGCAGTGCTGAAACACCACTGAAGAAGAAAGGAGCTCCTCGAAAACTTGAAATGAATGAGAACAATAATTAAATAAAAATCACATTGCTGTTTTCTGCACGGCGACTGAGTGGAGCTTTTTATTGGGACGATTCTCACAGCAATGCATTCTGGGGCTTGTGGTTGCTTGAATCTGCAGGAACTTTATCTGTATTAAACCATTTTAATAAACTGGAATATTTACGTATTACGTGTTTACAGTCCGACATTATTATCTAATCCTCGTTGTACATAATCTTCTCCTGTAACTGTTAAAGATCACTGATAACATTTGTGAATATTATTCTTGTTGTGTTTCAATAAAACATGTTGTTTTACAGAAGTGACTTTGTATTGAATCCTGTTCATTAAGAGCGCTTCACATCCTTTGAACTACTGCATTCTCTCTGTGTTACTCTACTCCAGAAGTACATTCCCAAATAACATATTGATGTTCAGGTGTATATCAGTATGTAGTGTCTCTACTTTAAAGAGTCCTCTCCTGCTGATGTGCAGGTGTATATCAGTATGTAGTGTCCCTACTTTAAAGAGTCCTCTCCTGCTGATGTTCAGGTGTATATCAGTATGTAGTGTCTCTACTTTAAAGAGTCCTCTCCTGCTGGTGTTCAGGTGTATATCAGTATGTAGTGTCTCTACTTTAAAGAGTCCTCTCCTGCTGATGTTCAGGTGTATATCAGTATGTAGTGTCTCTACTTTAAAGAGTCCTCTCCTGCTGATGTTCAGGTGTATATCAGTATGTAGAGTCTCTACTTTAAAGAGTCCTCTTCTGCTGATGTTCAGGTGTATATCAGTATGTAGTGGCTCTACTTTAAAGAGTCCTCTCCTGCTGATGTTCAGGTGTATATCAGTATGTAGTGTCTCTACTTTAAAGAGTCCTCTCCTGCTGATGTTCAGGTGTATATCAGTATGTAGTGTCTCTACTTTAAAGAGTCCTCTCCCGCTGATGTTCAGGTGTATATCAGTATGTAGTGTCTCTACTTTAAAGAGTCCTCTCCTGCTGATGTTCAGGTGTATATCAGTATGTAGTGTCTCTACTTTAAAGAGTCCTCTCCTGCTGATGTTCAGGTGTATATCAGTGTGTAGTGTCTCTACTTTAAGAGTCCTCTCCTGCTGATGTTCAGGTGTATATCAGTATGTAGTGTCTCTACTTTAAAGAGTCCTCTCCTGCTGATGTTCAGGTGTATATCAGTATGTAGTGTCTCTACTTTAAAGAGTCCTCTCCTGCTGATGTTCAGGTGTATATCAGTATGTAGTGTCTCTACTTTAAAGAGTCCTCTCCTGCTGATGTTCAGGTGTATATCAGTGTGTAGTGTCTCTACTTTAAAGAGTCCTCTCCTGCTGATGTTCAGGTGTATATCAGTATGTAGTGTCTCTACTTTAAAGAGTCCTCTCCTGCTGATGTTCAGGTGTATATCAGTATGTAGTGTCTCTACTTTAAAGAGTCCTCTCCTGCTGATGTTCAGGTGTATATCAGTATGTAGTGTCTCTACTTTAAAGAGTCCTCTCCTGCTGATGTTCAGGTGTATATCAGTATGTAGTGTCTCTACTTTAAAGAGTCCTCTCCTGCTGATGTTCAGGTGTATATCAGTATGTAGTGTCTCTACTTTAAAGAGTCCTCTCCTGCTGATGTTCAGGTATATATCAGTATGTAGTGTCTCTACTTTAAAGAGTCCTCTCCTGCTGATGTTCAGGTGTATATCAGTATGTAGTGTCTCTACTTTAAAGAGTCCTCTCCTGCTGATGTTCAGGTGTATATCAGTATGTAGTGTCTCTACTTTAAAGAGTGCTCTCCTGCTGATGTTCAGGTGTATATCAGTATGTAGTGTCTCTACTTTAAAGAGTCCTCTCCTGCTGATGTTCAGGTGTATATCAGTATGTAGTGTCTCTGCTTTAAAGAGTCCTCTCCTGCTGATGTTCAGGTATATATCAGTATGTAGTGTCTCTACTTTAAAGAGTCCTCTCCTGCTGATGTTCAGGTATATATCAGTATGTAGTGTCTCTACTTTAAAGAGTCCTCTCCTGCTGCTGGTGTTCAGGTGTATATCAGTATGTAGTGTCTCTACTTTAAAGAGTCCTCTCCTGCTGATGTTCAGGTGTATATCAGTATGTAGTGTCTCTATTTTAAAGAGTCCTCTCCTGCTGATGTTCAGGTGTATATCAGTATGTAGTGTCTCTACTTTAAAGAGTCCTCTCCTGCTGATGTTCAGGTGTATATCAGTATGTAGTGTCTCTACTTTAAAGAGTCCTCTCCTGCTGATGTTCAGGTGTATATCAGTATGTAGTGTCTCTACTTTAAAGAGTCCTCTCCTGCTGATGTTCAGGTGTATATCAGTATGTAGTGTCTCTACTTTAAAGAGTCCTCTCCTGCTGATGTTCAGGTGTATATCAGTATGTAGTGTCTCTACTTTAAAGAGTCCTCTCCTGCTGATGTTCAGGTGTATATCAGTATGTAGTGTCTCTACTTTAAAGAGTGCTCTCCTGCTGATGTTCAGGTGTATATCAGTATGTAGTGTCTCTACTTTAAAGAGTCCTCTCCTGCTGATGTTCAGGTGTATATCAGTATGTAGTGTCTCTACTTTAAAGAGTGCTCTCCTGCTGATGTTCAGGTGTATATCAGTATGTAGTGTCTCTACTTTAAAGAGTCCTCTCCTGCTGATGTTCAGGTGTATATCAGTATGTAGTGTCTCTACTTTAAAGAGTCCTCTCCTGCTGCTGGTGTTCAGGTGTATATCAGTATGTAGTGTCTCTACTTTAAAGAGTCCTCTCCTGCTGATGTTCAGGTGTATATCAGTATGTAGTGTCTCTATTTTAAAGAGTCCTCTCCTGCTGATGTTCAGGTGTATATCAGTATGTAGTGTCTCTACTTTAAAGAGTCCTCTCCTGCTGATGTTCAGGTGTATATCAGTATGTAGTGTCTCTACTTCAAAGAGTCCTCTCCTGCTGATGTTCAGGTGTATATCAGTATGTAGTGTCTCTACTTTAAAGAGTCCTCTCCTGCTGATGTTCAGGTGTATATCAGTATGTAGTGT